GTTTCAATCACTATCTTCTAATTCAAGCAAACATTTTAAACTATTACTTGTATACTCGAAACTGAGCTCTTAAATACAACATTTTCACTAGTTTTCTGTCTCCCAGATCATTGGGAAAATGAAATGCCTAACTGGATGCCAAATTAATTTCTTCACCATTACACTATCAGAAGCTAATACAACATTATGTAACTTGCTTAAAAAGAAAGAAAGAAGCTGAACTTCAAAAATGGAAGGTATTAATAAAATATTACCTAAATATTTGTGTCAGAATGCACCTGACTGAATAATGGTTGGACTTACTACTCTTATAGCAGGAACAGTCTTCCAGTTATTTCCCTTTCTTCCTGTTAAAAGGGAGTTTTTCCTTCCCACTGTCACCAAGTCCCTGTTCACAGGAGTTCATCTCAATGTTAGCGATTTTTCAGTATTACTTTTTGCTTTTTACCTTTTAATATAAAGCACATTGTTGTGATTTAGTGCCATATAAATAAATTTGATTGCACTGAGTATTGATTGTTTGATTTAAAATCCACTGTGGTGATGTAATGAGGAGGAAAAATGGTCATGGTCTAAAAACATATGGACTTCCATATGATGAAATGAGCCAGTGCAGTATGTGTTACATGTGATAAATAGGCTACAAGGCAAAATCAGTGGTGGGATTATGCTTTTTCATGCCGTGATAATGTGCGTGAGCACAGCAGTAGTGTGGAGATGGTCTGAAGATGGATTCAGAGTGACTCATGTATAAAAGTCATGCTGATCCCAGTTGCCATGATGCTGTCAGCGGTGATGAGTAGACACACAACAAATCTAATAGGCTGAACTTTAGCTTGATGTGATGAGTAAGCAGTCAGGGTTCATTTGTGGAGTTCAGTTTTCTTACCTTGCAAACATATCCCATAAAAAGTCTCCAGAAGTTCCAAGTCATGCTCTTATTGTACGACGCTGAGTATTAATATCCCTCTACAGCTGCAAAGGTAAAATAGATGACATGAAGTTCATTAGGCTGCACGTATCTCCAAAAATTCCCGATTCACATCATCAGCCGCTCGCTGAAAAACTAAGACTTTAAAAAAGTCAAAATCAAAGGACAGATCAGCTCTTTGTTGCAGAAGTTCAAGCAAAGTGCATTCCTTTAATAGCCTTCAAATATAATCTCTGAAGAACACACTTGCACCACCATCTTTAAAGTGGAACACTTTCTCTGTCGCTTAATGTCAGTGGCTGATAAATCCCCCTACTTCTACTGTTAGACCAGCTGATTAGAATAAAACATGTCTTAAAGTGTTAAAGTGTAGTAAATCCACTTCTTATAGGCCTTAATTTCCTCCTTGTAGTGACCGCTTTACTTGTTCTCAAACAATCACCAAAATTGCTCAGTGTTTTTTAAGCTGTTAAGTTTTAAGTTGACTCTCTACTTGACTTCGGCCTGCTGTGTCTTGATTCAAGTGGTATCAGAGACAGCGTGGAGGTGTTTAATTTACCTTCTCAGCTGGATGAGAAATCAAAAAATTATAATGAAAAGGGGAAATTCTTGTTGTTAGGACAATCACCGAGATGACAGCAATGACTGTGAAATGAAGCACTGTACAGTAGTTCAGTGGGGGAAGTAAAAACAAAAGACTCTCCTTCGCCTCATGATATTCCCCACTGTGAGATTTTATTTGGACTTAGAAAAGATAACTGCACTTACATCAGGCTTTTGTGAGGTGCAACTAAGTTCTGAGGATGGACTACAAACTGGGCATCTTGGATCGTTGTTCTTTCTTAGATTACCGTCCACTAATAAGTATTCGCTCATCTGCCACCACACACATATAAAACTGGGTGACATCCCATTGTTAATCGATATGGTTTAATAATGTGTCAGCCCACTCTTTGCAATTATGACAGCATCACCTCTTCCGGGACGGCTTTCCACAAGGATTAGGAGAGTTTATGGGAAGTTTTGACCATTCTTCTAGAAGAACATCTGTGAGGTCGGACACAGATGTTGGATGGGAGGGCCTGGCCCGCAGTCTGCTCTAATTCATCTCAAAGATGTTCTGTCAGGTTGAGGTCAGGACTCTATGTAGGCCACTCAAATTCTTCCACACCAAACTTGCTCATCAATGTCTGGATGGACCTCGTTGGAACAGGAAAGGGCCAAAATGTTCCCACAACGTTGGGAGCATGAAACTGTCCAAAATGTGTTGGTACTGAAGCATTAGGAGTTCCATTCACAGGAACTACAGGACCAAGCCCAACTTCATAAAGACAACCCCATACAATAACCTCCACCAAACTTTACATTTGGCAATGTCAGATAAGTACTGTTCTCCTGGTAACGCCCAAACCCAGACTCGTCCGTCAGATTGCTAGATAGAGAAGTGTGATTATTCACGTCTCCAATGCTCCATAGTCCTGTGGTGTGCTTTACACCACTGCATCCAACACTCTGCAGTGCACTTGGTGATGTAAAGCCTGGATGCAGCTGGTGGGCCATGGAAAACCATTGTATGAACCTCTCTATGCGCAGTTCTTGAGCTGATCCAAGGGCCATGTGAAGTTTGGAGGTCTGTACTGATTGACTGCAGAAAGTTGATGACCTCTGCGTACCACGCTCCTCAGCATGTGCTGACCCCGCCCTGTGAGTGAATACTTTTGGCAATACAATGTATTTTTGCTTCTCACTGGAGAGATCATAGCTGTGTCCCAAAACGTCGGCTGCATCGTTCGGAGGACCCGGCCGCCATTGTCGGCAGCTGAAATTTGGCTGGGCCGCGCTATGAATTCTGGGATATGGTGAAGGACACACCCGACCCATCCTTCAAATTCGGGAAAATGAAGGACGCATTTGTCGGCCGCATTTCAAGGAGTCGACAAATTGGGACAGCCTTCGTCGCCTGGCTGTGACGTAATCGGCCTTCAAACGCGGCCTCCGGAGGATGCAGCCGACGTTTTGGGACACAGCTTATTTCTACTTGAAGCTTTCAGAATCTGTGACTGATGAAGAAAAAATGTTGATAATCCTATACACTAGCAATAAACACACAACTGACTTTCGGTAGACTGTTGATGACTTTCTTATGGCTGTTTTATGGGTGTTTTTTATTGTTTCTAGGTTAGTTAGTGAACTGCCTGACATATTTGGTTCTCTCCCTTTAGACTGAAGCTGATTTACATCACAGCTGCCTTGTGCCTCCACAGTGCATCTACAATCCTCTCCGGAGTCATCCTCAATCTGCGTCTTTATGCTATAGTGTGACTGTAATGCCGTTGCTGCTCGGATCCGCTCTTCAAAAAAAATTGAATCAGGAAATAGATTTTTAGACACGACTTCAAAATCAGAGTCTTGACATTTCTGCCTTAGTGATCCCAGAGTGCTGGAACATTTGCCAGCGTGAGCCCCTGATGAAAAGGACTCATGCAGGTAAATACTTCTTTACAGGACTATAAATTGGGTGGAGGGAGTTAACCAGGATTTGGGAGGTAAAATAGCAAATGCTGATATAATAATAGTGACATACTGTACGAATAAAGAAAAAAGAAAAACAGCCACAATATGTGAGAAGGAAAGCTGAAGGAAAAGTTGATTATGTTAATAATTGCGCTACATCTCTTTAGCTACAGAGAGAGAGCTCCAGCTGGCTCTTTGCTGGCACGCCTCCTCCCACCGTTCACTCTTATTGCCCTAATGTGTGCGCGAGCGCACGACCGGCGCCTTCCTGCGACCATTGTTGGTTTTAATGTATTTTTAATTTCCCATGAAGTGACTGAAGTCCTCGGTGACCGGCACTCCATAATTGGCTGCCTGTGTGAACATCAGTCAACCTAACGAGAGCAAGAGGGAGCTTCTACTGTGGGCTGCTCCACACACACACACACACACACACACACACTTGCACACGCACAGGTATGCTCTCCTGTTTGCAACTGAAAGCAGTCTGGCTGTTGTTTTGCGTGTCTTTGTGTGTCTGCTGCTTTCCTTCTCTTGAAACACACACAGGGAAGGGAAAAAGTCTCATTAACTGAGCTGCTGCTGCCATTTCCTCCACACAAGCAGTGTATGTGTGTACCTCTTAGATGTGTGTGTGTGTGTGTAGGCAACCAATATGATTACATGCTGCACATTAGCACAGCTGTTAGCCACGGCCTTCTTGCGGCACTGGCTAATGTACTAGCATGCTCATTACACACATATAACAAACAGCAGCGGCGGCTTTGATTTAAAGCATCTGCATCATTTCTGTGTTTTCATCACAGCAAAGAGCTTCATTCCGGACTCGCCGGGAGACAGATTACACACACATCGCAGACGTGCTGCTACAAGGAGGCAGCGGAGGCACGGCGCTCTGAAATACGGAAAACCTGTCGAGTTTAATTGACCGCCGTCGGACGTGCGATATTCAGAAAAAGCAAGTCGATTTCTCTGCTCACGTGCGCACGCTCGAGGAAAAAACAGGCACATACGTACAGCGTGATCTCATATATATAGGATTTATTTACACTTTCTATTTACAGATTTTTGTTTCAAAATCTTCTCTGTACACATTTATTTTTTAAATTCAACACCTGCTACTCCTGTCACCCACATGCTCTAGTATTATTTGATTCTTTTTTTCTGGAGACAAAACACATGAGGGAGGATTTTTCTTTTTTCCTTCAGTTTGGTTTTCATAGACAGATTTTACTCTAAGAGAAATGAAAGCAGCTGGAAATGTTACTTAAGGACGCACTCCTGAAGATGCTCCAAAGAGTGTTTGAAGTTTGCCGTGTGTGTGTGTGTGTGTGTGTGTGTGTGTGTGTGTGTGTGTGTGTGTGTGTGTGTGTGTGTGCTAATAGAAAAAAGGGGTTTCAACCTGATGCCGCTGAGACATTCATCT